TGTTTGGCAACATACAATGAATTGTTTATTATTATTATCCACATAAGTCCAGGCAAAGCTAGGCTCCAAATATAAATAAGAGGTGCTCTCAAACCTAAGGTTAATAAAGGAAGAAAAGCATTGATAAGATCCCAAGGGTAATCAAGAAAAGTACTATTATTACAAAATAAAAGTCCTTTCCTACTACAAGTTGGAAATAGCAACTTAATAATAATTAATTTATAAGATTCCAAGGTTAACCAAGGAAGGAAAGTACTGTTCTTATAAAATAATAAGTCTTTCCTACTAAAAGTGGGAAATAGCAAATTAATAATAATCAAAGGAAAATAAAAATGTTTCCACATTCAGAGATGAAAGTAAAATACATCTCTCTAATTTAATCTTCAATATTTCAGTAAAGCTTTTGAGGGATCTAGTTTGAAACACTATGCTTGGCTGTAATAGGTGTTCAAGAAATATTCATTTTTATTTCCACAAACTATCTATTCCAAAATACTCTGCTATTTCAGAGATGAACTATTAATTTGGAGTGTTGTCTTACTGTCTTAAAATCATAAGGATCCCTTTTCTGGAACAAGGAAATGGGATTAGCAAACCTGTTCTCTGTCATCAACTCCAGAATGGTTTAGGGCAATTCATAGGTGCTCAATAAACACTAATGGATGGATGGAAATCCAAACCTTCCCTAATACTAGTTTGTCTAAGTATTTATGCTATATTAAGACATTTTCTATAAACTATACTCTCATGAAATGTGGTAGTCTTCCTCTTAATCTGGTGAAAGAGAATCTGAGGTTAAAGAGGCAGGGGATATACTTTCCTGAGAAGAAAAGTAAGACTGGGTGTGCTTCCTGTAAAAATGAACACAGGGCTCAAGTGTTGGAGTGGTATGGAATAATTTCCTTATTTCATTCTGAGATTTTCTTTAAAATGAAGAGTTGCCATATTCTGGCTTATTTATTTATTTAAAACTATTTAACTGTGCTGGATCCCCCAAAACTCCAAAAAAATTCTATTCAAACTATTTTACTGATAAATTTGGACTGTATATATTCAAGGTGTGCAATGTGATGTTGATACCTGTACATATTATGTAATGATCACCACAGCCAAATTAATGAATGTATTCATTCCCACCCAAGTTGTATGTTAAATCTCCAGGTCTAGTTCATCTCATAACTCAAAGTTTTGTATTCTTGAGCTGGGGATATAGCTTAATTGGTAGAGTGCTTATCTTGCATGTATGAAGCCCTGGGTTCAATCTCCAGCACTAGGGGAAAAAAAAAAAGTTTGTGCTCTTTTGCCAGCATCTCCTCATTTCTCCTATCACTCAGCCACTTGGGGAAGGATCTCAGCTCAGTATCTGAAATTATATGTTGAATCTAACACAAGATACTTAACAAGACCCTATCAAAACAAAGTTCTAAATTCGAGGTACATCATGAAAGAAAAATAAAACTGGTGGAGATTCACCAGGTCACAAATATGAGTGACCTCATGCTTCATAATTATGGCTCATTTTTAGCTGCCTTTCTTTGCTTTTTTTTTTTCCTCCTTGTTCTGGGAATTGAACCCAGGGGCACTTTTTCACTGAGCTACATCCCTAGTCCTTTTTTTTTTAATTTTTTTAATTTTATTTTTTTATTATTGATTGTTCAAAACATTACAGAGCTCATGATATATCATCTTTCATACATTTGACTCAATTGGGTTTTGAACTCCCATTTCTACCCCAAATACAGATTGCAGAATCACATCTGTTACATACTCCCATTTTTACATAATGGCATAATAGTGACTGTTGTATTCTGCTACCTTTCCTAGTCCTTTTTAACTTAAGACCCTGTCTTAAGACAGGGTCTCACTAAGTTACTGATGGTCTCCCTAAATTGCTGACACTGGCCTTGAACTTGTGATCCTCCTGACTCAGCCTCCCCAAATCCTGGGATTATGGGCATGTGCCAATGGACCCATCAGCCTTGTCTTTCTTTGCAACCAGTAACCACTAGCCACTTTGGGGAGAAATCACTGGTCTTGACATACAAAACTCAATTGTTGAGCCAAATTGAACTGAATTTTTAAAAAAGCAATATTTTTGGAGACTATTTCTATATTCTTACACATCTAAGGTGTGACTGTGGTACAAGTCTTTATATTACCTCTGAACACAGAGTAAAATTAACCACTGGACTAAGTAGTTTAAGGAAAAGAGGAAAATAATTGTTCATGAGGGAAAAATGGAGAAAAAGAGAAAAGTAAAGCAGAATCTTGGGGCATTTTACAAACTCATGGACTCACAGAATGGTATGGTTACTGCAGTCTATAGCACATTTTATCAAGGAAAGGGACTGGGTAAGTACCAGTAGGAAGGAAAAAGCAAAAAAAAAAAAAGTGTTTGTTCAGTGAGGATAATTTGAAGATTCTTATGACAAGTCTTCAGAGCCAGACTGTGAAGTCTGGTGAATAATGAAAATTAGACTTTCACCAAAAAAGGGATCGTCCCAGATTACATTGTCAGCCCACAGTGTAACTGCCATCTGGGTAAACGCAGTGCATGTTTACTGTGCTCTCACCTAAGCTACCGGTTTCACATATTAATCAAATAGCACTACCCTTCCATCTGCTTTGCTATTACCTGTCCTACTTTGTGCCAATTTCCTTTCTCCTCCTCAACACCCTCTGCCTCACTGTTCTTTTTAAGACATGGGATGGGGATTTGTCAAAGTCAATGAGCACTTTATTACAGTGAGAACGTTTCGTAATGAACAATTCAGCTATTTAATGAGATTCTGTAGATCTGTCTCCAGCCTGTCCATCAAGTTTCACTTCTATAAAGCACCCTGACACTAATCCTCTGGCATACCCAATCTTCACCCTGGGCTGAATATTAGATTCTTCCATGGTATATTGCATTACTAGTATAACCTCAGCAAAAATGATGAACTTAACTATACTTGAGGCAATATAGCTGGTCTGATTTGATTTTTCTCTATTGAGTTGAGTATGAGGGAATTACTTAGTTACTAAGATAAAGCAAAAACAGTTTCTTATTGCCTGCTGAATGCCTAAATTGATAATATTTATGTGAGTCTTTTAATTCTTCCTTGAGTACCAGGTCTAAAAAATAACTATTGCCTGCAGCAGTAACCAGTTTTGAAAATTCTACATTATAACATTAGTAACCTTTAGAGAGGCAATTATGATAACTCTTAAGTGGACAGTATGGAATTTTCTTGACACTCAGACATCTGCACATTTCCATGTTGATTGCTGGCAGTGCTTCTCTTATTCTCTACAATAGGAGATAGATGCCACAAGGATGGTTGGACTCAGATCTCAATTCAGTTAGGAAAAATTAAATACAGAGTTTATCTCAAGTCTTTCTTTTTCCCTTGGGAAGTGAAGAAAATTTGGCTATTTCCCACTGCGAATTGTCCAAAGTAAATTCAGATGATTATATTTGAAATGTCTACTAAAATCATATCCTCATGACACTTCCAATCTCTGCTTAAATAAACATCCCCAGAAATACCCAAGAAATAGCAAAAAACTATGATTTTTTTTTTTTAAATCAAGACAGTGTATGGAATAGTGGAGAGATAGGGCAGGTGTCAGCAGAACTGGATTTGAAGGCTGGCTTGGCTCTAATTCTGAGTCAGACACTGAAGCCTGATTTCATCATCTAGAAGATGGAGCTGGTAATAGTCATTCTTTAGGCCTGTTGTGATAAGTCACTAAGGTTGCAAAGAGTTTGGGACCAGGGAGGTAGCTCTTATTATTCCAAATAATGAAGGAGGTTGCTGATTAAAGAAATTCATAGAAAGAAAGAAGCAAAAGAGGCATCAGGAATCATCATCCAATACAATCAGATGGTTGGATAATTAACAGCTCTACAAGACTCCGTTTTCGCCAGAATTAAAATAATCTCTGAATATATTTGATAAGATCTTAGGACCTTATTGTTTCATTAGCCAACAGAGCACTGGAACTATTCCCATGTACTCTGCATTTAGCTATTTTTCAAATGATCAGGAAATCCTGAAGCCTGGCACCCTGGTAGCCACTGCTTCAGAGAGTGAGACAGACAGTATTAGAGGAAAGGGGAGCATGGTCTCTGTGTCCCAAAGGCACCAGGTAGATATTCAAGCATGAGAAGAGGGGGCTTGGGTTGTGGCTCAGTGGTACAGCACTTTCCTGGCATGTGTGAGGCTCTGGGTTTGATCTGCAGCACCACATATAAATAAATATTCATTGACAACTATAAAAAAAATTAAAAAAAAAAAGAATGAGAAGAGGATTCAAATTGGATAATTGATGTCAAAACACAAATCATCCCTCTATCTACTAGACAAAGTAGTGACACAATGTGAAAAGAATGTTCTGTCAGACGAAAATGCAGGGCTTAGGAAAGTAGCAATGAACTCAGAATGAACCAAAAAAAAAAAAAAGAGAGAGAGTTTTCTAGAAATTAATTTCATTCGAGGACCAAGTTGTTCTCTATTACAATAAAGACATTTCTGAATTGTTTACAAGAAATTCCAGAATTTATTCTGGTTCCACTTGCCTTGAATATGCATAAATATCACTTTACAATCCATTCTTCTCATCTTCAGTTCAAGAAACATTTCCCCCACAAAGAAAAGAAAAGAAAAGAAAAACCTCCTTTCCCTTTTTCTAACATGTCTGGGTTAGAGTTTCTGGAAGCCACAGTGAGTCTGAGGAATCTCACCTATAGTCCTTTGCGTTAGGCCACACCACCCATAGTGAGCTGAGCTCTGGGAGCCTCAAGGGCTGGTGTTCTCCAATCATGTGCCCATTAATGGAGCAGGGCTTCTAAAAGTTTGACCCCATGGAGGACCAAACCAGGTAAACTAATAGTCACTGCTTCTCAATGCTTTTGGTTCTTTTTAGATGTACAACAGCACAGTGTCAATTCTTTAACTTCTAATAACATCACGCACTCTTGTTGCCAACAGAGGACCCAAGCAGAGCTCCCTTACCTGCCAGATCTGCTCTTCACTCAGAGAAGTCAGGCGGTCGCTCTTCAGGACCTCCTGAAGCAGGCAATAAGGAAGCGTTAGAACATCTTCTGGTCGGCTCTTCAGGAGTTCAGAGAGATGTTTCACTAAGAAATCGATCACTGCTTTCTCCAACAAAGTGAGGTTAAAGAGGTCAGCAAGTCTGTACAGATCCAAGTAATTAAAGCTATTTAATTCCTGGGTGCCAAAAAATAAAAACGAAGAAAGATCTCTTAGAAATCAATCCAAGATAGAGCAGGCAAGAAATTCCGATTGACTCACTAAGGTTTTCATGACGGGGGTAGGAGAAATGGGACTGTTATAGACAGAAATGGGACTGCTGCTATAGACATTGGGATATGTGCCTGTGTCACTAAAGTAGGCTGATTCTAGTTCTTTTGGATAAAGACCAAGGAGTGGGATAGCTGGGTCATATGGTGGTTACACTCCTAGTTTTTTTTTGAGGACTCTCCACACTGCTTTCCAGAATGGTGGTACTAATTTGCATTTCCACCAACAATGTATGAATGTATCCCCCCCACCACAACAAACACGTATCCTTGCCAGCATTTATTTATTTATTTGTATTCTTGTAATTGCCATTCTGACTGGAGTTCCCAGTTATGGAACCAGCACAGGTGCCTGTCAACAGATGAATGGATAAAGAAAATGTGGTATATATACACAATGAGTTTTACTCTGCCATAAAGAAGAATGAAATTATAGCATTTGCTGGTAGATGAATGGAACTGGAGACTATCATGCTAAGTGAAATAAGCCAGATTCAGAAAGTCAAGGGTGGAATGTCTTTTCTCATGGTGCAAAACCAGTAGAGTAGAGGAAGGGGAAAAGGAGTAGGAAAAAAGGAAAGAAAGGGAAAGTACTGGAAATTGAATGGGAGCAAATTATATTCCATGCATGTTTGATTATGTTAAAATGTACCCCAGTATTATACATGATGATGCCCTAGTAAAAAATACCAATTTTTAAGGCTCTAAGAAGAGAAATGATATACTAGGATTTATCATTTTTCCTTAATTTACCTCTCTCAAAACCTATATACTTAAAAACAGCTTTATAAATGTACTTATTAAAAGGTTTTTCTGGTCTCACTGCCTGAAATGTTACTTTGCAACTTTTTAAAAATGTTTTACCAACAAGAAAATACTATCCTTACCATATCCTACAGCTCTCTTTTTTGACTAAAGGTAATGTAAGGGCAAGTGAACTGAGATTTAAGAGAAATGACACAAACTCTATGAAGACAGACTGACTGCTATTTTTCCAAAACTTCAAACCAAGTATGTCTTTAAAAGTAAAAACAACTCATCCTGATTCAATGAAATTCAAAGACAGGTTTTTCCATGTAAAGTTTCAGGAAATGAGGAAATAGCACAGAAAAGACTCCTGTCCCAAATACGTCAATAATGAATCTACCTAAGATGGATGATTTATAATTTTTTTTTTTTGCTAACCTCAAACATTCAGACCACCATTAGTATTCTCTCCCACCTTTTAAGAGTCTTTCTACTGCAATGATTCAGTTTTGGAAGATTTTACCTGCCTTTCACCCTCTCAAGCTGATAACCAGGGCTTTACAACTGTGCCTCTAGAAAGCTGTGGCTACTGGGAACCTTTGTCAACATAACCCTGTGAGAATCATCATGGCACACACATCTGTGGACAGAAAACTTGCCTAGTTTAAGTAGAATGAGAGTGGGCTATGTTCTAATTTCTCCTCATTTTTACCTTATAATTATTAATATGTGAGCAATATTTCCAACAACATATAGGATGCAGAATGCCATGAAATAGCTATTTTTACTCTTTTGACCTATTTAAGTAAGTTCAACAATATACCCTCTTTTTCTAGTTAAATAAATGTATTAAGAACTCTTTCTAAAATGTTTTTTCTATGTTAATATGTTTGCTTCCATAACATTTGAAAATTTAAGTGAATATGTGCTAAATCTGTGATACTCAATATGAATCACTAGCCATATGTGGCTATTCTACATTTGAAATGTAGCAGGTTTAAACTGAAATGTGCTGTAAGTATAAATACACATCAAGTGCAGAGTGAGAAAAATAAGATGGAAAATATCTCAATAATTTCTATGTTGACCATGTTTACATTATCTTCTTTTAGTTATATTGTGTGACATATATTATAATAATTGATTTCATTTGTTTCTTTTTACTTTCCTTAACATGGCTACGAGAAAATTTCTAATTTATATGTGTGGCTCCCATTTTAGATTTTTATTGGCTAATGAGTACCATTTTAAATAATAAAATATATAATAAAGAAATTGCAAAAACAACTCAGAGTACCAGTGGCTTCATCACTATGGCCTACTGATTAAATTTATCTATTTTAGATTCTATACATTTGGGTGAGTGTTATGGTTTAGATATGAGGTGTGCCCCCAAAATTCATGTGTGAGACAATGCAAGAATGTTTATAGGTGAAATGATTGAGTTATAATAGTTGTAACCTAATCAGTGCATTAATCCTCTGATAGGAATTAATTGGGTGATATCTTTCATCAGGGTACAGCTGAAGGAGGTGGGCCACTGAGGGGTGCCTTTAGTGTATATATTTTCTTCCTGGTAAGCAGAACAGTCTTTCTCTACTTCCTAATTGCCATGTGCTGAGCTGTTTCCCTCCTCCACATCCTTCTGTTACGATGTTCTACCTCACCTCGGGCACAAAGTATTGGAGTAGGCCATCCATCAACTCTGAAACCATGAAAGCCAAATAAACTTTTCCTCCTCTAGAATTGTTCTTGTCAGATCTTTTGGTCATAGTGGTGAAAGAGGTAACTAAAACAGTGGTAGACAATACTACAATTATATTCCTAACAGGAGTAAAGCTAGAAGACTTCAGAAAGTTGACTCTTAACAACTCTATTTGCCAACACAATTGAAAAAGTTTAAATGCTTATCTTTAAAATAAAGTTTACAACAGATTATCACTAAAGTCCATTACAACTCAAATATCTAAGGGTCTATTCAAAACTACAGAATCAAAATAACGTCACTTCTCATTCAGCAGATTTTATCAAAGGAACTCAGAAGTTGACTCCAATATTAATTTTTCAAGTAACATTTAAACTTCAAATCTTACTTCTTAGGATTGGCAACTTCTTCTCTGGGAGGAAAAGGATAGGTAATCCCTGCATATGGAAAGTCTATTGAGAGCTTTAGGACCATCTCCTTGGAATAAGAGCATTACTTCTGGCAAATACATGTACAAAGTGACCCTGGATACCATTTGGCATCCCAGTAAATTACTGTGTGGTCATCTAGAAGCCTGATGGAAAGTCAGTGCCTTTTAAGTATTACAGTGGCATGACCAAGTGGTGCCCCAGTTCTGATGTAGCACCCAGCAGCATGACATACAGAGGTGAACATGGGCAGAAGCAAAACAACCAAGCTCTGCAAAGCAAAAGGTGATGGGCACAGAGCCAGGGCAATGTTTTTCCCCCACATGTTTTCCTGCCATAAAGGTGTATACAACTGAGTTTGGACTGGATTGTGTAGTGGTAGTTAAAAATCCTTTATTAGGCATTTTTAAATCTTTATATGGAGATAGTGGCTCTCTTTTAATTAGAATCCTACAACCTAAAAGCAGTTCAATTCAAAATTACAGAGAACAAAAAAATTTCTAATGGGGTATTTAAAAATTATGCTTATTTTTTGTTGTTTCTTTTTAAGGCAATTGTTTAACACTTTTCACAGTCTGAAAAATTTCTAAGGATATAATTTGTATAAGTCTAGTCTAATAAAGCATTTCTAGTTTAATGATGGAGAATTAAGAAGGCTAAATGGATCCATGCCTTGGTCAACTGAACAGCAAAGGGGAAGGGAACTGACATATGTTTGTGTATAAAAGAAACATCAGTTATAAGAGAAGGTTCTCCCAACCTCAGCCTTTCATTTCTCCTCTCTTCTTCTAGAGTATAATGTCCCCAGATTTCCAGTTCTCTCTGGATATATCAGCAGTTTCCATTCATCTTGCCATGCACAGTTTTCACCTCAGAAGTTAACTGTATAAAGTGAGGAGTTGAGGGAAAAAGAGAACACACCTTCTATAGCACACATGTCTCCTAAGGGGTCAGAAGGGCTCTGTGAACTTTAAGCCAAATCATCACTTCTTGTCTTTATGGCTAAGATCATGTGTAAGCAAAATAAGCATCAATAATTCTACTTTAAAAGATTTCCATTAACGTGATGGAGGAAGGTGGGAAGCAATAGTAAAATTTCATTAAATGCTCACCTGTAGTACTGTGGCTGGGGAAAATCATTGCTGTTATTTATAAAGAGTGTCATTATGTTTCTAATTTAAAAAAAGTAATAAATGTTCATTTCATAAAATTCAGGACATATAAGGTATGGAAAAGAAAACAAAAATCATTCATTATTTCATCATTCAGAGATAATCACTATTAATATTTCTGTATATCTACTTTTAGACTTTTAAAAAATAAATCTTTTATATGTCAAAGAAAGAGAAAGAATAATTGAATCCAAGGCAGAACAAACCACCAGTCACTGGGTACTCAGAGGCAATCCAGTTGGTAGGGAAAAGCAAGGCCCATGGAGTCAAGTTGATCTGGTTCAAATCTAGCTTTGACATTTATGTTGTTGGGAAACTTGGGTCAACCACTGAGCTTCCAATATTCCTCATTTACAAAATAGAAAATTCAACCAACTCATAATATTTTCATAGAGATAACGTATGAAAAGCACTTACCATATCTGCTTGGCATATGGAAAGTATACAGCAGATCGAGGGATGGAGGATCAAGAACAATAGTAGGGGCTGAGGTTGTGGCTCAGTGGTAGAGCACTTGCCTAGCATGTGTGAGGCATTGGGTTTAATTCTCAGCACCACATATAAACAAATAAATAAAGGTCCATCAATAACAAATAAATTTTTTTAAAAAAAGAACAATAAGTATATTTGAACATTGTTGTTTGATATCCACAAACCATGATTCAGCACTGATATAAGGAGACACCATAAAGAATGCACTCTTTCTAGATATCCAAGACTTGAATAAGGTGCACCATTAAGTCAGGGAAAAAGAAGATGGCCAAAGTAAAAACCACAGAGTTGAGTTATAAAGCAACTGTATGTTAATGTTTCCTACATCTATATTATTAACCCAAGACTTTTCCTAAGTTCTGGA